TTTGTTAGTAACACATTAATCATCTATCACTATTTCTCATACTTTTTTTCTTTGAAGGACAAAAGCAGTGTTTTGTTATAAGGTGAAACTCTTTTATGCTAGAGTTCTGATGGGAGTTTACAATAAGTGGAAATTCTATTGCATGTGATATTAACTATAAGTCAAATATATTCTAGAACTGTTAATGTTGTTCTAAAGAAAATGTATTATTTTAAATTAACTTTTTTTACATGATTATCAAAAGTAATGAGATATCCACAACAAAAGGGAAAAATTATCATAAGATGTTTATATTTTCATAATAAATAGACTATGTTAAAAATAATTTTGTATGAAAATTTAAGTGATTATTCCCACCACCTTGGCATAAAACCGTTGCATCATCTTTTAAATTATTTCATGTTGTGTCTGATACAAGTAATGTATGTTAAATAATATTTAAGCTAAGGCATGCAAACAAAATGAAAATCATGAAATGACCACCCAAGTGAAGAATTAGAACATTATTAAAACCACTAGAGGCCCGGTGCACAAAATTCATTCATGGGGGGTTGTGTGTCCCTCAGCCCAGCCTGCACCTCTCCAATCTGGGGTCCCTTGAGGGATGTCCGACTGCCCGTTTAGGCCTGATCCCACTGGGCAGTCAGACATCCCTCTCACAAGCAACTGCCCTCCCCTGCAGGCCTGGGCCCCCACCCCCAACTATCTTCCCCTGCAGGCCTGGGCTCCCCCCGCCAACTGTCTTCCCCTGCAGGCCTGGGTCCCTCCCCAACTGCCCTCCCCTCCAGGCCTGATCGCCCCCATCTTATGTTGGCCATCTTGTGTCCACATGGGGGCAGCCATCTTTGACCACATGGGGGTGGCCATCTTGTGTGTTGGAGTGATGGTCAATTTGCTTATTACTCTTTTATTAGATAGGATTGCCTCTACTTATAGGTATTTCCTTTCCCATATCCTGGGGATCCTGTCCCAGAGGCAACTGTTGTCCTTAATCTAGTGGTATCATTGACTCACTGTCCCCACATATGCAGATATATGTCCTATTTCCCTTGGGTATATATACCTATGAATGGAGAAAATGGCATTTTATCTATAGGGATCTGATTTCATTTTTTTCATATCAATAACTTACTGTCTTGGTACAATTTGTAGACTGGTTCATCATTTACTCACTACACTGTGATGCCAGCTCTGTCCATGTGAGCCAGTTTCTAGACTCGCCATGCCTTCCATTATTCAAGTTTTTCTATTCTTTATGACAGCAATTTTCAACTGGTGTGTCATAAGAATTTTTAAAATATACAATTCCTGACTATGTAATCAGGGGCGTCACCTCTTTTCCCTTAGATGGTCAAATAAAAAAATGACAATCTAAGGCAGTGGTTCTGAACCTTCCCTCAACCTTCCTAATGCCGCGACCCTTTAATACAGTCATGTTGTGGTGACCCCCCAATTACATTGTTACAAATTGAACATAATTAAAGCATAGTGATTAATCACAAAAACAATATGTAATTATATATGTGTTTTCCAACGGTCTTAGGCGACCCCTGTGAAAGGGTCATTAGACCCCCAAAGGGGTCGTGACCCACAGGTTGAGAACCACTGATCTAAGGGAAACACAACAATAGCTGTCCTGTGTGAATGCCCTATCTTGAACCATATCTATATCTATATCTATATAAGTATCATATCGGAACCATATCTATATCTATATCTATATAAGTATAGATATAGATATAGATATATATCATATGGTTTAGCATCTTATTGGTCACATTGCATAATAAGGTTGAATCTGATTGGTTAATTCTGTGTACCACAGATGCTATAGGCACTTGATTTTTAAAAAAATCACGTTGGAGCATAAAGGGTAGGTAATTACTATTATTATTTTTTGTAAATCAATCAAAATTACACCTATTTTTGGTCAGGTCAGCAAATGATACAGTATTTTTTGATGTGCTGCAGAATTTTAGTAATTAATTTATGTATGCCATGAGATAAAAAAGACTGAAAATCACTACTCTATGATAAAATTATACTGTGTTAATTTTAGTGACATTATTTTAGGTTCTAATATGTGGTATGGAATGTCACACCACCTGTCTCTCCTCTAGGAATCTCATGATACTGTGTTCGTCCCTGTACACTTTAGATTCGGCTTGTCAAGTTTCTTGAAAGCTCTTGTTGAAATATTAATTGAGCGTGCATTAACTGATCCTGTCAGTCATTTGGGGAAGAACTGATAAATTGAGACTTTCCAATACCCTGACACATCTCTCAGTAATTAGATCTTCTTTAATATCTTTCTAAAAGGCCTATAGAGTACCGCACATCTTTTGGTAGACATTTCTGAGAATCCTATATTGTTATAGTTGTAAATGGTGTTTGATAATTTTTTGCTAGTGTGTAAACCTTACAAATGATTTTAACATTAATATTTTATTCAGACCCCTTTTAAACTCCTTTATTATTTGGAATAATTTATACATACATTTTGCATTTTCTCTGTAGACAGTCCTAACATCCATGATTAAAAACAGTTTTGCTTTTGTATTTTTGGTCATAGAGTTATGCATATAAGTAGTGGTAGTAAGTATTCTTTTCTTCTTCCTGATTTTAAAAGAGCTATTTAAAACTTCACAATAAAGAATGAATAAAAAATGCTGAGATTTTGCTAACTACCTTTTATGTGGTTAAGAATGGTCTCTTTTATTCCTTATTTTGCTAGGAGTTTTTGTCTTGGAATTTTATCAAATGATTTTCTGTGTATTGAGATAATCATAAGGCTTTTTAAAAAAATACTTTAATGGAGTAAATCATATTATAGGTTATATTCTAACATCACACCAATATTATGTCCTTTCCAGTTCTTTCATGATGTATTATCACTGGATTCAATTTGCTAATAATTGTTGAGGTTGACCAAAGATTTTTCTTTTTTGAAGATGTTTTTTAATTGATGTTATGCTGACCTCATAATTTGAGTTGTGGAAAAATGCTTTTTCTATTCTCTGAAAGAATAAGTATCAGAGTGAGTTATTTGTTTCTTAAATACTTGGTGGAACTCGCCAATAAAGCCATCTGGCCTTGATATTTCATTTCTGGAAAGATTTTTGACTACTATTTAAATGTTTCTAATGGTTATAGGATGACTCATGTTTTCCACTTTTTTCTAGTCAGTTTTGGTAGATTTTTATAGCTTAGAGATTTTCCTTTTCATTTAAATTCAATATATATTGGTATTTATAGATTTCAGTAAATGGTAAGCTGCCCTTATATTCTATGCTACTTGATGATTACATATTTTTATACTTTATTGGACTTGGTTTGCTCATTTATGTCTGTGTCATGAGTGAGTTGACCTAAAATTTTTATTTCTCTTTGTATTTGTCATCCTCCAGTATCAATATTATAACTTCTGAAATAGTCTGAGAGTATATTTATCTTTCTCCATTCTTTGGAAAAGTTTGTAAAAGACTAGAATTATCTGTCTCTTGGGAGGTCTTTTTTAGAGTTTAATGTTTACTTTGTGGGGATATTTTAAACTATTTTTTCAATTTCTTCAATTTGTTTAGTTCTACTTCTTTTGAAATTTTATATTTTCATAGGGTTCTATTTCACTTAGGTTCTTCAATTATTGGCATAATATTTCTGTGGTACTATCTTATTATCTTTTTAATCTATGATGGATCCATAGTATGCCCTTTTTAATATTAAAATTTTATTTTAATTTATTCTACTTTGTCATTATATTACTTTTCTAGATAATACTGTCATAAGTTTATTTTTATCCCTAATATTAATTTGTGTTTTCTTTCTTGTTTTTAACAGTCTTACCAGAAATTGTTCTATATTACCAATATCTTAAAGTGGTTGCCTACTTTTTAAAAAATTAAACTTTTAAAAGCACATAACATGTTAGGGCTACATATTTCCTTTGCTTGTCTCCATCCTTCAGGATTTGATAAGTTATATTGTCTGCTTGATAATTTTTCTGCTCACTATTTCTGTGTATTCTTGCTTCTCCTCAGTTCTGGAAAATTCTCAGTCGCTATAGTTTTATATTTTCCCTCTGTCTTTTCTCCTTCTGGGACTCTAGACATGTAATAGATATTCTTATTTTACCTTTCATAACTTTCAACATCTCATAGTTTTTATCCTCTGATATTACTGTGCTGCATTATGAGTGGTTTATAAAAACCTCTCTTCTGTTTCACCACTTCTTGCTTCTGCAATATTGAAACTTAACTCATTTATTCTACCTTTTATACAAAAAATTCTTTGCTGCAAATTGTGTTTGATTCTTTCTCAAATCTGGCCATTTTTGCTTAATCTCTCCTGGTTTATTCATTTATGATTCCATCCTTTGTTTCTTTAAATATTTAATACATGTTTATTTTATGTGCTTTTTCTGATAATTCTGATATCTGAAGTGCTGGCCAGGGGAATCTGTCTGTGTTGACTCTTATCAGTGGTGGTTTTCTTCTGGGTTTAGTAATTTTTGAATATGATCTCATTTTTGGTTTATCTTAATTTATGGGAAACTTGGAGACATTCAACTGCAGGAGCTTTTCTGAGAAGGGCATTTGTTTTAGCTTCAGGTGGGCATTGATAACACCACTGATGTGGAACCACTTTGGCCTATTACAGGCGCCCTGACTTAATCCATGGCATCATGGTCAGCCCCATATTCCTTCCCCCTGAAGGCGCACTGCAAATAAGGGCATTTGCCCTCAGATACCTGGCCTTCTGGCTGCTTACTGCTCTTCTTGTTTTTGGCACGTGCAGCTGTGCATGTGTGTGATTTTTGTTTTGTTTTTCCCTTTGGCTATTTCTCTTTCTATGAGCAGAGGAAGAGGAAAAATTATATTTATATGGAATCTAGTTGTTTCATATCATGAGGGCCTCTCAGAATATCTGGCCTGCCGAACTGCTTGACTTTTATGACTCTCCTATTCATAGTCTCTGCCCATTTCTTCATTTTTCACAACAAGGTTATTGCTGACATGGAGGCCCAGGTCCACAAGCTGAGAGAAGAGCTGATTCACGTGAACACACAGCGGAAGCAGCAGCTGGTAGAGCTCGGTCTTCTCCGTGAAGAGGAGAAGCAAAGGGCTGCCAGGGACCATGAGGCTACCGTCAGCAAACTAAAGGCTGAATCAGAGAAGATGAAAATAGAGCTGAGAAAGACTCATGCAGCTGAGACGGAGATGACGCTGGAAAAGGTAAGGTATCCACCTCGATGTTTTATAGACAAGTGAAACCCATGGCTGCCACCCTCACATTTCATCTCTGGAAGGTGGGGGACAGAGAATTGCTCTTCAGATTGTTCACATGAGCAATTTAAGTATCTTTTTGTATTCCTAAGCACCACTAAAATCATATAGGGAATTTCCTAACTTTTTTTGTTGACTTTGTCTGAAGTAATTGCATAGAATATCCCATTCTGTATCAATTAAATACACACTGTGATACAACGTTATAATATTGTCAAATATTATACTGGTTAGGAATGCTGGGGCTGTAGCCCTGAATTTTCTTGAGACTAAGTGTCAGATATTTTCCAGATTGCCTAATAATTATTTCTAAATGTTACAGTTTTTAGAAGTGTAACATACATGATGGCATATTTTCCCAGATTGATATTTCAGATTGGGAAAAGATTTAAAATTATATATTTTTGAAATAAATGTCAGTATAATATTGACATATTTGGGGTTGACTTATCTTCCAGGAACAATCTCAAATATTCTTTCTTTTGATGTTTTGGAAAAGTGTAAATCTTTTAATTGGGTAGTAAATGTGAATTGCTCTAAGGATATCAAATGTAAATCATCCCTTGAGTTTCTTAAGGCCAATCTATACCTTGGGATAAAGAACCTGAAAAGCGTAGCTGAAGAATCTTCTAATTCTGTTTGATTTTCCTCTCTTCTTTGTCTTTAAATAATTTTAAACCTTCATAGTGTATACAACACCGTGCTAGGCACTACTCCATTGATGTTACATGGAGCGAGAACCCATGTAACTTTGTAGTAGCTTACTTTGTAGTAGCTAATTTTATCTGAGAGTCACATTTCAGCCAGCTTTGCCCTTAGCAGCATAGCTCTGAGCCAAGAAATATATAGGAAAATGTCCCTAAAGAGGTGGGAGGGAGCCTGGCTTCTTGGAGGAACAGCAAGGAGGCCACTGTGGCTGGAAATGATGATGGAGGAGGAGGACAAGGTGGAGAAGGAAGGAGGAGGAGATGAGATTAAGGACAAAACCTCAGAGGTGGACCAGGCTCTGTAGGTGTGTCTGGGCCTTTGAAAGGGCTTTGCTTTGACTCTCCTTGAGTAGAGGAGGCTTGACAGGTTTTGAGCAGAGGTGTGACATCTGATTCACCTTTGAAAGGATCTCTCTGCCTGCTAACGCTGAGAATAGACTGAATTGAGGGCAAAGAAGGAAGTAGAGAGACTAGTTTAAAAGCTATTGCAAGAATTTAGACAAGAGATGATAGAGGCTTAGGCCTCAGGCAGTAGCAGTGACGGTGGTAAAAACTGATCAGATTTGGGTCATGTTTTGAAGGTACATCTGGCCAGATGTCTTGTTGGTTCAGGTGGAAACAGGGGGCGGGGGGGAGAGAGCAGGTAAGAATATTTCCAAGGTGACTGGCTAGAGCCAGTGGAATGTCTTGTTGGTTCAGGTGGAAACAGGGGGCGGAGAGAGAGCAGGTAAGAATGTTTCCAAGGTGACTGGCTAGAGCCAGTGGGCACAAGGAGTGACCCCTCGCTGACGGGAGGAAGACTGCAAGAACGCCAGGTTGGGCTGTTTGGGATGTGTTCCAGTTGAGATGCCTTTTATATACCCGAGGGAGGATGTTAGTGATAATTCCATCAAAGCAGTACAAAATGATAGTATTTGGATACTAAAATATACAGTTTCAGGAAGTAGGGATATTTCCCTATATGGAATAGCTTTAGTCCTCTGACAATAGCAAATAAAAGAGGGACTAATGGAGAGTGAAAGTGATGTTGCAGGGACCTTTCTGGTAATTCTTACACACACCTCTCCTTGACTTCAGTCGTATCTGCCATCAGTTCAAAATAATTCTAAGTAAATGGTCTTGAATGGCACAGATACCAGTGCAGCTCAGTTTAAGAAATTTGGACATACCAAAGCCAGACTCATAAAACATAAAATTTAGCCCTGCTGGTGGGGCTCAGTGGTTGAGCATCAACTTATGGACCAGGAAATCAAGGTTCGATTCCCAGTCAGGGCACACATCCTGGTTTTGAAAAAGATCCCCAGAGTGGGGCGTGCAGGAGGCAGCCAATCAATGATTCTCTATCATCATTGATGTTTCTCTCTCTCCCTCTCTCTCTCCCTCTCTCCCTCTCTCCCTCTCTCCTTCTCTCCCTCTCTCCCTCTCCCCCTCTCGCCCTCTCCTTCTCCCTTCCCCTCTCCCTCTCCCTCTTCCCTCCTCTCTGAAATCAATAAAAATATATTTTTTGAAAAGCATACAATTTAGGCCTTGATTTTTCTGTATTGTATATTCACATTTTAAATGTTTTCAATGTTTCTTTTTAATTGATAAAAATTTTCAAGTATAGGTTTATATGTATTACTAATTGATAACAAAAGCATAGCATTAGAAACCCTGGGTAATTCATTTGGTAAATATTTCTGGAAGATTTCCTATATCTCAGAAAGGCATTATCCCAAGCACTGTGGGGACACACAGAAAAAAGGAAAAAGTGGCACTGTCTTCAAGTAGATTCTAAAAAGCAGCAACTGCAAGACACATACACACAATTGTAATGTGAGGTAGAGTATGGATTGGGGGAGAATTCTTTTCTGTTAAGGCAATCAGGGAAGATTAACTGGAAGAGATGTCACTTGAACTAAACGTAAGGAGATATGTAAGATGGCATTCAGAGCCAAAGGAACAACAGTAGGAGCAGACAGAACTGTGCACATGTCATAGAGGTCAGTCAAGCAGAGTGGTTGTGATGAGTCTAAGAGACAGCTAGAAATCACTGCAAGTCTCCAAAGCTGTGATAAGCCTATGGCTTCACTGTGGAAACAGTATGAAGCTACTGAAGATTTTGAGGAAATGAAGTGTCAATAGCCAAGTGATTATTAGGAAAATCTGTCTGTGTTGGCAAGCTGCCATAGCAGGGAAATAGTTGGTGGGGACCTGATTAATTCAGGCTAGAGGTCCCTGAGGACACACTAGAGGTGTACGAAGGTCGTGAACATACAGCAGCGAGGATGAGGAAAAATGCTTGAGAAGCATCTCAGAGATGGTATTGATTAGAATGGTTAAGTATAAATCAACCCTTAATCATTTGGGAATGTAGGAGAACTTTCTGATTTCAGGAAGAAAAGATTAATTCAGTTATGGACATGTTGAGTTGGAAATGCCATCACTACATCTAGCTGTGATGTTCATTTGCTATTGAAGGAACATTTGTGGGGAATCATAGGAGTCACCTACAAAGAGGGCCTGTTCAGGAGGGGAAATAGAAAACAGTGGTGAAGAAAGAGCTTCAGTTAAAAGTCTGGGAGAAAATAGTCAAGGAAGGGTCATCAAGGCAAAGGGAATATGAGAAGAATGAGTTTTCATGGAAATAAAGGAAGAGGATATTTAGAAAGGAGTATTTTCAAGAATGTGACAGAGAATCAGGAGGAATACGGGTGGAGGAAAGGTCACAGGATTGGAAACTGAGAAGTCATTGATGATCTTGGACAAAGCACTGAAAATGATAGTGTGGACAGAAACACGGTTGCAAAAGTAAGTGAGAGAGTAGGGAGGAAGTGGGGATTCATGAATACTCTATTGTTGTGGGGGTTTTGGTTTTTTTTTTTTGAAAATCTGATATTAAAAGGGAGGTGGTGTCCCAAAGAGCAGCAGGAGTTAAGGATAATATCTTTTTAGGCTGAAAATGTCTTGAAATACAGGAGAAAGAACTGATGGAGAGGAAGAGAATAATGATGCAAAGAACCAGGGGTAATTGATTTGAGAGATGAGGGTGTGGATGAAATTACCAGCTCAGGTCGACCCTCTCCCCTTGGCTACCAGGATCCAGCCACAGAAGACATTGGTCTGTTTCTGGACCCACCTTGCTCTCTCCTGCCTCCAGGTCTTTGCACCTGCCACCCCTCTGCCTAGAATGTTCTTCTCCTTGATTTTCCATGGCCACTCACCCTCCTCCTCATCAGTCTGCACTTGTCAGTGTCCTTCCCTGACCTCTATATCTCAAGTCTTGCCTACTTCTACCATCCTACCTTTTCCCATTGTCTTCAAGGCTCATCTCACTATCTGAAATAATCTTTTAATTTTTTTCACATATTTATTTTCTATTTATCCCATTGGGACTAAGCTCCATTAGCAGGACCTTGTCTACCTTGTTCATTTCTGTCCTGCTAGTGTCTAGAAAGACACTAGCCCTGGTAGTGAAAGCCTGCAAGGATGGAGTGCTCCTGAACTGAACAGAGAACAGAAGTCATACAAGAAGCTAGAAATGAGGTTGAGCATAGTAATTTTAACTGACGTGGATAAAGGTTTATCAGAATGTGAGGGCTTGGCAGAGAAAGTCTGGAGGTTACCACCATGGGCTGTGGTTACCACCATGAGTTTTGTTCTTGCTGGGTTGATGGAATGAGCCAACCCCAAAGTCCATATGGCAAAATTGTAAGTACTGGGTTCTTGATGTGAAGATTAATTTGTATTTTGGATGATAAATGGTTTTACTTAACTAATAAAAGGAGTTTAGCCATTTCTAAATGCAGTGAAGACCTGGACATGGGTGCCCTGGAAACAGTCCTTTTAAATATTTTTTTCTAAAGCTCCAGGATCATGCGTGGGGCCTGGGTCAAAGTAGGCATTCGTACATGCTGTGTGTGAATGGAAGAAGGGTGCTGCACTGAGAAATCCAGGATGGTCTCTGTGAGTGATAATATGGATACATAAAAATATTGTACTGATTTACTCAAATTTGATTTTAACCATTATAAATATTTTAGGTAGGATAAAATTTATCTTTATAGTCCAATATTTATTTGTTTTTTAATGTTGTAATTTCCTCCATCTTACTTAATAAATTAAACACATAGCATCAATTTTTTCCCCATGTGGTTTGAATTTTTGGTACACAAACTAGACATTTGAGTTCTTATCATAAAAATTTAAATTAGCACTAATAGGTGGTAGGTAATTCTGTTGCTAGACTATTTTGTAATTGTG